TTCCACACTCCATGCATTGATACGGCTTCTCTCCTGTGTGGATCCTCCTGTGGGTGTTAAGTTGACCGCTATAAGTAAAGGTCTTTCCACACTCCATGCATTGATACGGTTTCTCTCCTGTGTGGATCCTCCTGTGGGTATTAAGATGACTGCTATGAGTAAAGGCCTTTCCACACTCCATGCATTTATACGGTCGTTCTCCTGTGTGGATCCTTTGATGTCTTATAAGGTAGTACTTACCACAGAACGTTTTTCCACACTCCCTGCAGGTAGTTCGTTCCTCTTCTGAATGTGCCTTTTTATGAGAAATGAGATGATCGGATTTATTAAACTTCTTTCCACACTCCATGGATTCATATGGTCTTTCTCCTGTATCAATCATTGTATGGTTAGGAAGCCAACTGACATGAGGAAGACTTCTTTTAATTCCACTTTGTGATTGTTTTGTTTCATCACTTTTTGGTTGCATCTGATCTACAAATTTCCTTTCCGCCCCCTTCGAATGGATTGCTTGGCGTTCCTCCTTGCATTTCTTATTCTCTTGTCCATTAAAGCCTTGGAAAACAAAAAGGGAAACTGTAGCAAGAACAGGGGAACAATCAAACCTTTTATTCTGAAATTTAGCCAAAGAATCATCAATATATTTCATCTGTTTTGTGGGAAAACATGGAGAATCCAATGTAAGATTATAGCAAAGACCCATTTCCAAGTGAAGCTCTCTAAGGTTCCTACTATAATAGGATCCCAGCCCTCATCTAACCTTTGACCTGTGGCAATTCCATGGTGGCACAAATTCCCGAAGTGTATTGGACAATGTAGCATGCTGGGGCAGCAACATATTCACCAGCTCCCAACTTCAATAAAAATTTCATCTCCACTTGTCTGCAGAACAGAATCTTTGAAGTCAAAGGAATTTCTGGATGGCAATTGCTCCCCACCCTCAACTTAGCCTAATGCCAAACTCGGTACACAGGTGGGCATATGTCTAAGAAGGGAACAAACCCCTCAGAGGTCATCCGGTCTTGGTGATAGCAGCTCAGGGCCATCAGGAACCCAGTGACCAGGTTCAGGAGGGAATAGAACAATCCTGGTAGCCGGAACCTTCCTCAGTACATTCAGCCTCTTCCTCAGAGTCTTCCTAATATCTTCTGTATGAAATGAGTATTTTGCATTTCATGAGCAGAAAGTTATTTTCAAAATAAAATAAAATTTCCTTTATGCAAAAAGCCAGGCCATGCAATTTTCTAATTTTTCTTTCAATACATTTCCTTCTTCCCTAAAATCAGTTTGGTCAAAAGGATAAAAATCCAGGCTAAAAACTAATAAGTTTATAGACATTTCTAAAATTTTGTTTTCACTTTGTCATTATTGGCTACTCAGTGTAGATTAATGAGAAAAAAATGAATTTCATCTACTGTAGAATCAGCCTGCAGCACAACAAAATTGACAAAAGTGAAGGGAATCCGAAGGCATTCTGAATGCACTGTATATCCTTCATTTTTTGTAACTAATAAAGGCAACAGACAAACCCAATATTCCTTCCTCCTACTCTTGTTTTCCCTACAAGAATAACCCTGGGAAATGGGTTGAGCTGAGAGAGATTGGGCAAAAATCACTCAGCCAGCATTCCTGCCTACGGCAGAACTAATACTCACAGTCACCCAGTTTCTAGCCTGGTATCTTAACAATTAGACCAAACTCACTTTATAGAAGAAGGAAATTTATTCAAATAAAAATTGGAAATCTGCATAGCCTCCCTTATTGCAAAAAAGAAATTGTTTTTTAAAAAACATTTTTGGCTCATAAAATATAAAATATTGATTTCAAAAACTGTAAATCATGCTTCAGCATAACAAAATTGAAAAAAGTGAAGAGGCTCTGAATACTTTATGAATGCACTATAAATAAATGATTCCCCCCCCCCCCCCGAAATAACATTTAAGCTCCATCTCTACATTCCTGAACACAGAAAGGGTTTCTTACCCAGAGAAAGGACATTCCTGGAATTCTCCAGCATGACTTCTCTGTAGAGCTCCTGTTGGTCGGCATCCAGTTGAGACCACTCCTCCTTGGAGAAATACACGGCCACTTCCTCAAAAGTAACAATATCCTGAAAAATGACACAAGGTTCCTTATTAACCGATAATCACAAGAATAATGGGATAATTTTCCTCCACCAATTGTAGGAAAGAGATCACATGAACAAAATGGGAATCTTCTGCAGAATTCAGAATAGGATCTCACCGCTTTTGGCTGATGGCACAAATAAATCATGTTTGATCAAGCTGGAAGTGTTTGGAATGCCTTACGGTGTAACCAACTAAAATATTCCATGTCAAGTGGTCTGATTTGAGAAAAGTGCCACACTCAACCATCACGGATTTCGATGAAATTTTGCGTGAACATGCACACATGTCCCCAATGAACGTTGGTAAAGTGTTACATTTGCCGATGCAACACTTGCAGAGATCTAGTCATTTGTTGGACCCCCATACCGCCACCTTCTACAGTGTGACTCTGAGGTTTCAGCAACTGTGACACATAATATCTCCGGCAATATTTTGTTGAGAGAAACAAAATTTGGCCATCTCGTACAACTTTTTATGTTCTATTAAACAAAATAACAAAAACATTATCACGAGCGATCTCCATCTAGATAATTTGGAGCAAAGTTAGCCGAAAATATAGCAATGTCCCTATTTTTTAAAACTTTGTCCCTATTTTTAGGGGTTTATACGTCAGCGATGAAAAATCAATGCTACTTTTGTAGGGGGGTTGAAACATGCTCTTTCTAATGAGAATGATTTAACACAGTTTCCAGAAGGTCTTTTTTTGTAAAAGCAGGCTGAAAATACTGTATTACACTCAATTTGTAAACTATTGGAAAGCAGTAAAAGAATGAAATTTTATACTCAAAAACCTTGTGTTGCTAAGTTATTACACGCAAAGTTTCACATGTATCATACCTTTCCTTTCAGAGATATAAAAAGCCAAATATTAACCTTTTTTTGAACCGCAATATCTTCAGCCAACTTTGCTCTAAATTGTCTAGATGGAGATCACTCATGATAATGTTTTTATTATTTTGTTTCATAGAGCACAAAAAGTTGTACGAGATGGCCAAGTTTTGTTTCTCTCAACAAAATATTGCCGGAGATACTGTCTCAAAGTTGCTGAAACCTCAGAGTCGCACTATAGAAGGCTGCGGTATGGGGTCTAACAAATGACTATATCTCTGTAAGTATTGCATCGGCACATGTAACACTTTATCAATGTTCATTGGGGACACGTGTGCATGTACATACAAAATTTCATCAAAATCTGTGATGGTCAAGCAGGGACCCCCAGACCACTTGACATTGGAATGACCCACTTGGGCCTTAAATTCACTACTTGTCAGTGACTCCCATTCTTCTAAGAAGGGGAAGAACAAAATAGTGCCAAAACCCACCTGACATGATTTCCAATGGCTTACTTTATCAACTGAGGGATCAACGTATGCCAACTCCACCCCTTCATGAAGGAGTTGGAAGAGGTTGTAATAGAACTCTATATCTCAATCACCAGGTCACGGTTGTCCCTAAGATGCTTTAAATCATAATGAAAATTAGAATATCTTGTATAAAATGATGGAAAAATAGTTAAATGAATGTTTAATAATTGATATTATATAAGCACAAGCTAGACCGATAAGGTGAGAATTTATATAACATGTGAGTAATGGTAAAAAAAGGATAGCACAAAAGATTGTAACCAACTGACACACTGTATGTATATAATTGAAAGAGGGTTTTATGTTTTATTCGTATGTTTGTTGTAAAAAATAAAAACTTTGTTTAAAAAAAAAAGATAAAATAGAATATTTTTTTTGTAATGGTATGTGAGATTAACCCTGGGAGACAGAAGAAAGCTTCCCAATTCTGACAACAGTCTGGCCAATGAAATCTGATGTAGAAGCAGGAGAGGTAGAGAAAGCGACTCACAGAGGATCCCCTCAGAAAGGAGAATATTCAGTGACCTGGTATTGAATTTGTATTGCTTAGAAAAAACAATTTTATACATTGAACTCTAGAACAAAATGGAATCCATCCAATATTTATGGACCTTTTCCGATGTTTCTCCTCCTTACCTGAAGTAACGGTTCAGCTAATCCTTCAGCTCTATCAGAAAGAGGTGATTCTAAAAAGTCCAAGGACAGCTTTCTACTCTCTATGAGAAAGAGAAAAATAGCAGAATCAGATTTGTTAAAAAGAGACAATCCAACAATGTGGAGCAAAAGAATCAGCTAAATTGTCATGCC